CTCTGTCTGCTCATTTCTAGTGCAGGTGAGTGGACCTGCATTGGAGGCGAGTCAGTCACTGAGCCTGTGGTGACCAGTCTTGCAGCTTAACCCTTGTAGTGCAGGGGTAGCCTCACTGAAATTTTTTTATTTTTTTTTGATTCCTGGAGTTCCTCTTTTTTAAAGTGTATCTAAATCCTGCATTTATTTTCATTTTTGATGGAGTAGGGAATTCTTGGTGGTTTGGGTTACTGCATTGTTGCAAGTTAGTTTGCCTTGCCCCCCGGGCGGGCTTAATTTCCCGTTACAAATGTTTGCTTTTACTCCTACCTTGTAGTCTTGAAAATGTCTGGCACCAATAGCGCTTGGGGAAGGTTTCAGACATGTAAGCATGAGTGGGGGGGGGGCCTCACTACAATGTATACATTGAATCTACAAATCTTTAGAAGGCTAAAAACAGGGCTTATAGCTGAATGGCATCACCCATTAAGGGCCGGTTCACACCACAAAGTCTGCGTTCCACAATGTTCTGCCTCTGCATTGAAGTCGATGGCACCGCATTGGCAACACGGGCACGTTAGTGCCTGTGTTCCGATCCAGTGCGATCTGCAAAAATAGTGCCTGCTGCATTTTTGCAGATCGCACTGGACCAGAACGCAGGCAATAATGTGCCCATGTGCGGGCGATCGCACTGGGGGCGTGGCTGCGGTGCCAGTGACTTCAATGCACCGACATGCCGCCTCTGAGCTCAGGGAACAGCCAGCTTGCGTTCCAGTTTCCGAACGCTCTGAAGTGCAGACTTTGTGCTGTGAACCGGCCCTAAAAGAACTTGGTCTTGGCTAGTTATCTTTGAATGTGAAGCTACCGGCTTTATTTGCAGCACAAGAAGTTCTTTGTTGAACTTGTAGCAATCCCACATTTGTCCAAGAATCCTTTGAATTTCCTTTGTGCTTTTATACTGGACTGATTAGAAACCCTGAGGGCCCATACACACTCGGGTTTCTGCTTTAGTGCATGCGCACCCATGTTAAAGCGCCTTATGGCATGAGTCACGTGCATTAAGTTGATGCAACCCATTCATTATGAATGAGCTGCCAATGCACCACAATGGTCTAAAAATGTTGCATGACCCTTTAGCATCCAACACACCACAGTACACAACACAAATAAAACCAAAAAGCAACACACCACAATGTGCGTTCATGTTCAATGCATTGGGGTGCCAGTCACCATGAATGTCACCTCGATGCACCACACATCAGGTGCGTTGCCATGCATTGTACTACTGCATGTTCACTCTCCTACGTTGTAGCAAAACATGTGAAACACTTGGGGTAATGGGCCCTGTAACTATCTTTTTAAAGGTCTTGTCACAGATATAATCAGTGGTTAGTGTCTGGTCCTGACTGTTGGATGCCTACAAGCGATATGTTTATGTTGCCTCTTTGCTTTTTATCTCGCAGTATTCTCAAAAGGAGGACAAATATGAGGAAGAAATTAAGATTTTGACAGACAAGCTAAAAGAGGTGAGTGAGTTGACTTTTAGCCATTTCTTGATATGTTACCACTGGACAAAAGGGAAAAGGCTCTGCTCACAGAATGCACTGGAACTCTGCTCTGCTTATGTATGAGCTGTGCTGTCACTTGTCGCCCGTGACCAGCCACTCCATTGTAATGTGGTTTGTGAGGGTGTGGTGTGCTGGCCGGGTTCAGTGAGCTAGAACTAACTTTATTTTCAGGCAGAGCCAATAAAAGTAACAATTGTCTGAAAAGGGGTATGGCGGATGTTAAAACTACAGGCAGATGGCTAAATACAGATGACGTATATGGTTGCTGCCTTCCTTAAAGGATTTGCAATATCCGCCCAGTTCTAAGACTTGTATAAATCTACCAGACAGCCAGCCTGGTGACCTGTCCAGTCCTAAGACATAAATCTAGCAGCCTGGTGACCTGTCCAGTCCTAAGACCTACATAAACCTGCCAGCCTGGTGACCTGTCCAGTCCTAAGACCTACATAAATCTACCAGTCAGAGCCAGACTGGTGACCTGGCTGTGCTTTGACAGTTGGCAGCATAGATTGGTCCCCTTCCTGCCCCCAGCCTGTGATTGGACAATGAAAGAGGAGCAGCACACTGATGAGCCATCCCTCTGTTCACCCTGTTCTCACCGCCTTTGCTTGTCAGAATATGGGTGAACGGGTCCCCTGAACGCCCCTCTGTAGTCTCTTCATTCTTGAGCTGAAGAAAAAAACTAAATATGAAAGCGCACTCCTGGTGTATGAACACACTGCTGAATATTGTACCCTAGGGAATGGTGTGCAGAACTCTTCAAAGCAGGGAGAGGAACCCTGTAAATTACAAATCAAAAATTACAATAGACTGAAGAGCGCGACTACCTGTGTAAGTGCCTGGTGTGGCTGGCAAAGTGAACTGAAGTAAATAATATGTGACTTACAGTTGGGATGTCATCAGGCGTGTCTTGCAGTCCCCAGTGGTATGGCCTCAATAGTCTTGTGATCTTATCGGGTCCGCTGCAGGTGATGGATGACTGCCGGACCGATTCTGGGATGCCGGGTGTCGCTAACCCATGTACTCGGCTGGCCGAGCCACGGCAGCTAGAGGTGGATGTTGGTCGGCTGAATGACGCACCTCGCCGTGTGTCTCTGCACCGTGTTCGGGAGAACTGTCAGGGGTGCGCTAAATTATGCGAGTCAGTGCTCGATGTCAGAGGGAGATATGCTCTGATGTGAGAAAGACCCAAAGGCAGGATTGGCGGTAGGCTACGCGTTTCGAGGGTTACCCTCTTTGTCAAGCCTTAGAGCGACTCGCATCTTTTAGAGCACCCCTGACAGTTCTCCCGAACACGGTGCAGAGACACACGGCGAGGTGTCATTCAGCCAACCGACATCCACCTCTCTCCTTCTCTAGCTGCCGCGGCTCAGCCGGCCGAGTACGTGGGTTAGCGACAGACTCGGCATCCCAGATTCGGTCCGGCAGTCATCTATCACCTGCCACGGGCCCGATAAGATCACAAGACTTCTGAGGTCATACCACTGGGGACTTAAAGACTCGCCTGATGACATCCCAACTGTAAGTCACATATTATTTACTTCAGTTCACTTTGCCAGGCTCTCCAACATTTACACAGGTAGTAGTAGTAATGTTTCATTCTTGTGCTGACGTAACCATGTCGGTGCAATCTTAATGAGGGGGTAGGAGGCGCAGTTACAGCGGTTCTTCCTGTGTCTCACAGGCTAGTTCTGCCCATTTTTTTGCCTAGATTTGTCCAATGGTTTATGCATATGGGGTCGGGGGGGGGGGGGGGGGGGGGAGGGGGCGACACCGCTGGGGGGGGATGGGGGTAATGGGGTAAACTGCCTTGACATTGCCCAGAGAACTGCCCAATAATGCAATTACAATCCCAAAGGTTTGGGGCGCATGGGGGTAAAGTTTTTAAAGCAGTGTCTCAGTCCCCATCCACTTTGCCAGGACATTGCAAGAAATCCGTGCAATTTCTGTACTTTGACATTTTATAGAAAATACAGTGCTGAAAATGAGGGGGGTGGAAACGTTCAGACAATTGGGCCTTATCCTGCGAAATCTGCTTTTTAACAATTCATCCTTTCATTTCCCGGGCAGGCTGAGACCAGAGCCGAATTTGCCGAGAGGTCAGTCGCCAAACTGGAAAAAACCGTTGATGATTTGGAAGGTAAGTCCTGACATAGTTGCCTCTCCAAAGGGCCGCTGACATTGTACATGCAACTGCCTGTAGGAATGACAAGCTAACGGGACAGAACCACTTTGTATGACAAGTGGCGGTGCCAGCGGAACGCTCTGTGAATTTTCCAGTTGTAAGCCGGTTTTATGTCAGGCTCGGCACGGTCATGGAAAAAGTGCTGTGGAATGGCGGCCAAGGCCCGGCAATAAAGGGGATATTCATAGCATGTTTATTAAATATGTTGGGAGTCGAGTGCTTTTTCTTTTTTTCCTTTTTAGGCAAACGTCTGGCATGTGTCAGGGCAGTGTCTGAACTCACCCTGTTCATTCCCCTCTCCAGATGAGCTATACGCCCAGAAGCTGAAGTACAAAGCAATTAGTGAGGAGCTGGACCACGCCCTCAATGATATGACTTCCATGTAAATACCGTGTGTGCTTGCTGAGGGTGGGGGCAGCTGGCCGTGTTCAGGCACGGCCTCCATACTAACCTCACAGTGTGTCGCTGGCTGCGGCGGCCTCTGCCCAGCCTGCTGAGTGCCGGGGTGGGGCAGAGCTTGTGTGATCTCATTTTTTTTTATGTTGCTGTCTGCCCCAGACACGTCTTGTGTGTTGCAAGCACTAATCGTGTGACACGTGTGTTTTTTATTTCCCCCTTCCTGGCTTACCGCATGCTTTCCCTCCAGTTCTCCAATCTCGCTTCTTTACCGATCGCCTTCTTCTTCTTTTTCACGTAGATGAATGCTGCTCATCCCTCCGACAAGCCATCTGCTGGACTCTTCCTCCTCCTCTCTCTCTCTCTCTCTCTCTCTCTCTCTCTCTCGCGCTCCATTATGTTCCGCAGCCGCTGACGAGTTTGTACAAATTGTTTACACAAAAAGAACTTTTCTTTTCTAAACCATCGAGTGACTGCGTGTCTTTGTGAAAGTGTCACTTGTTTGGGAAAGGTGAATGTTTTGTCCATGGTGTGGTCTGTGTGTGTGTGGTTTGTATCTGTGCCATCCCTGCGGTCAGTCCAGATTTGCTGTAGCAGTCATAAGGTTTAAAGGGCAAGTAAAAAAAACAAACTTGTGCTCTGTATTCACACTTCTCATTTCTGGGTTGCTTTCATGGTCGTGCCTTAAAGCTGAACTCTGACCTTTCCTTCAGTCTTGCACGGTTGTATCGGCTCCCCTCTTGGACTAAAATTGCTTCCTCTGATTTTATTATGAGCTTCTCACAATGTGCAGATCTTTACTGGACTGGAAGTAAACTACATGTAGGAAATCCCCCTCCCAGACACGCACTGTAATGGTGTAATAAAACTTCCTCTTTTCTCCATGTATGTTTATAACTCTTACATAACAGGGTGTCTATTGAGTCTCTTTTAAAGATTTTTACACATCCTAATTTGATGTATCCTTCAATCAGATATGTGGGTGTGCTGTTCATGTCCGTGATGAGTGAGGAGGTGTTGTGTCAGGGCTGTAAGTCCCATAATGCTTCGCACATTACCGTAGTAGCCAGAGACCAGGCATGTCGGGGCACCTTCATCTTGCATTCCTAAATGGCAGCTAAGGGTGACAACTGTGTGCCTGCATGAAAGGCAGAGTTGTCACCCTGTTGAAGTGCTGAGGGCGAGCTTGATCTAAGATACAAGGCAAGCCTCCATGGTGGTCAAATCTGGCCCTCCAGCTGTTTTAACTACAAATCCTGTAAATGCCTGTAACTGTCTTTACAATGGCTCATGCGACTTGTAGTTCAACAGTTGGAGGGTCAGAGTTGCCCGCCCCTGCCCAATGGGGATAGCAATGCAGAATGTGCAATCCATAAAAGGTGTAGTAATATCCTTTTTCACCTAAGGTTTATTTTAAAGTCTCTAAAACTAAGGATGTAATATATTTCAGCTCATCAGTCCTTAGATTTTGTTTTTGTAGGCTTTTTTTCCCCCCCTTAATTTACCAGGTGATCCTGCCGTTGACACACTCGGTCCTAGAGTGATGATTCTTACTCGGTTATAGTTGGGTTGAAAAAGACACCTGTCCAGGGAGTTCAGCCAACTCGCTATACTGTATGTGTAAAGCAGCAGTGTTGTCACCCCATGACAGGAAGTGTATGTAGGACTACAGAACACCTCCCTCTTTAACAGAAAGAGGCATTCTGTATTTGAGAGCAGGGCTGCAAGCTTTTAGCGGAGCAAAAAGTTAATTGTTAGGATTTACATACACTTGAAGGCAAAGGCCACCAAGAAACCCACAAAACTAGTAAATGCAGCAACGTTGATCTTATTATCAAGGTGCATTTACTACTTCGCAATAAAACGTGCAGAGTGTTGGACATGCGATCAGTGCATTTTGGGTGAAAAGCACAGGCTCTTGCAATGTTTTTCCCCGGCCTCAGGACTGTACCTCCTGGGAGGGTAGGGAGCAAATGCCCCAGACCCA